TAAGTTGATCTAAACATTTGAATCTAGCATCGGGAGAATAGTTTCATTATCGCTAGCCTCATTTGCCGTGCCGCACGCCAGGCGATCATGAATGCCAACCTGGCGGCATCGATTTCTACGATGACTTGCGAATGCCGCCACTGTGGCGGCATCGACCGCAAAGGGTTAATAGCATTCCTATATATTTCATAACAATATTTTTATTCCTATTTCCATTGCAATTATTATATAAAAATTTTCTCATACACTATATATTTTATAGATAAGATTTACGGTCTTTTTGAAATTTAAATCATTAATAATATATTTAACAAACACTAATATATTTAAGAAACGCAGTTTTATTATTTATTAATATTTTCTGTTTCATTTTTATGCTTACAGAATAAAAAAACCATACAGCAGGAATCGAACCTCAGCCGTCAGCTCGGTAGTCCGTTACCTTTGCTGCTGTGCTACGCTGCTTCGTTGAATACCTATCTTACTAACTCGTACACTTTGTTGGCTCTTTTCTTTAGACCGTTTTTTCTCAAAAACGAAGAGGTATTGCGTCGTATGCTATTACCATGAGTTATTAGTAGTCAAGTACTATTAACTCCGTAAATTTCATTCCAAACCGTTTCCCGGTCGATGCGTCTTCCCCTTGTGAGACTTTTATTCAAGCAGCGTGCTCCTACGTCATCTCACGCATGCGCTGTAGCATCGCAATATATTGCATCTAGCAACTCTGACTATGTTCCAAAGTAGCTTTCGGCAAGTTTTTGGTGTTAAATGTAGGGGAGACCGGGAGTCGTTACTACAGTTATCTCGAAATCTGTATGTTGTATGAATTAATAGTCGAATTAGTTATCGCCATTAATATTGTAAACGCTACTCGTACTTATAGTACCCACGTGACCAACGGAGTTTAGTGAGATTATGTGCCATGTTGTGATTTTCATAACAATAAACATATTTTCGGTTTCGGAGGCGAAAAGTGAAATTGTTTGTATGTCGGAAATTTATAATATTTACGCTGCTCAAAAGAATTGTGGCATAGATAATTTATTGCCGAAAATTGGCCAACTTTGACTGGCGATTACTTCGCGAAAAATTATCGTAGACTAATGATCTCTTTTTCAAAATGAAGCTTGAAGTCTCTACTTTAAGAATGTATCTTCATTTTTTGCATGCAATGCACCCCTACCCCTGTAACATCTGAGGGCATGTTTGATATACTGAAAATTGCAAAGTTTGACGGAACGCACGGATGTGGACAATTTTTTTTTGGGGACGTCGTTTGGATCGTCATAAAGTTCAAATCTTCCTCTTCAATTTGAAAAAAAAATGGAGTTGCTACAATTTTTTTTCGCAAAATTACAGCCCTTCAGAAATCATACGGAGCCGTGGAGAATATGGAGAGAATTTGTTTGCCGATGCTAAGAATGTCGGCTGCGGCCAAAACACGAGCCAGGAGCTGAAAAATATGCGCGCGTGCTTGCGTGCATATGTCAACAAACACTTTTGCTATTGCTCCACTGTGATTTCCAGTCATTTAATCCGCCGGCCGGTACTTGGCCCGAAAGTCGAAAACAACGATATTTTTGAAGGGCTGTAACTTTGCGAAAAAAATTGTAACAACTCCATTTCTATTTCAAATTGAAGGGGAAGATTTGAACTTTATGACGATGCAAACGACGTCCCCAAAAAAAAATTGTCCACATCCGTGCACTCCGTCAAACTTTGCAATTTTCAGTATACTAAACATGCCCTCAGATGTCAGGGGTTACAGGAGTAGGAATGCATCGCATGCAAAAAATGGAGATATATTCTTAAAATAGAGACTTCAAGCTTCATTTGAAATAAAAATCATTGATCTACAATAATTTTTCGTAAAGTAATCGCTAATCAAAGTTGGCCAATTTTCGACAATAAATTATCTATGCCATAATTATTTTGAGCACTGTATTTTTTCTCCAAATCTCGAGAAATGAAAATCGAATTATCTCTTATCCTATCATATATCATGATCGGAATTATGTATTTTCATTTAAAATGATCGATCCCAGACAGCACAATGTCCGAAACTGGGACATAAGATGTCTTTAAGACATCTTTTAGACATCTTAAAGACGTCTTATGTCTAGACATTTTAAAGACGACTTAAAGACATCTGAAAAACGTCCTGGTTTTGGACATTAGTGCTGTCTGGGATTCTAGTCCGAGAATGGAGTAACGACTCCGCCCTGGGAATATGATGACTCTGCCCCGGCAATTTTGACATTTTAATTTTTGCACCTTTGTCGTTTTTATGCTATACCGGTTAAATAAAGCGACGTAGACAAAAAATACCCATATAAATTTTGTAGCCAAGAGTTCACTCTTTACAACGGTACACCATATTTCACTAGAATTATAAATTTTGTTGTTAAAAATCGACAACGAAAAAAAGTGACGACTTCACCCCGGTCTCCCCTACTGTGTTGAAAAATTATGCTCGATTAATGAAACTTCTTTTGTTAATAACTTTAATAAACGATGGCCGCCGCCTAAAACTTTTTCCCAGTTACTTAGAGACATGTCCTTGATAATATATATGAAGTTCAAGATCATCGGCGAAGTATTCGTTAATATATTAGGTTGTTCGGAAAGTTCGTTTCAAATTTCGCGCGCTCCACATTTCTATGTAATCAGTAAGAACGAGGGCGCTCTAAACGATTTTATGTTTGTCAACAAACATTCCCGAATCTATGAGCCCGCTAAGGAAACTTCGTAGATCTTCCTAAGTGCAACTATTTCGTCAGAAATCAGTTTGAAAAATGGAGAACCAAAAAGTCCATTTTCGTCATATGATACTATATTGCTTTAAACGTGGCTTCACGGCTTCGCAGACCCTGAATGAGATGTTCTCAGTATATGGAGATGCCTGTGTCACTCACCAGACAGTTCGAAAATGGTATCGAAGATTCGAAGCTGGCGATTTCAACATGGAAGATCAAGCTCGCTCAGCCCGGCCTCAGGAGGTTGATGAAACGCTTCTTATGGATCTCGTGCACGAAAATCCTCGAGTGGCAGTTAGAGAACTCGCCGACACTCTGCACAAGTCTGTTTCCACCGTGCATGACCATCTGAAGAAGCTAGGATTCTCAAGTCGACTGGATGTGTGGGTGCCACACATCCAGTCGACTTGAAATGAATGAACGGCAGTTGCTGGTACGTGTGAACGTCTGCGATATGCTGCTTCAACAGCACCAAAAAGAACCGTTCTTGAAGAGAATCATAACAGGCGATGAAAGTTGGATCCTATACAATTGTTAGCCGCAAGAGGTCTCGTGGGGAACCAGCGACGCGTCTACGCAAACAGTGGCCAAGCCGGGGCTTCACGCAAAAAAGGTTCTTCTGAATATCTGGTGGGATTTTAAGGGCGTGATATATTATGAGCTTCTTCAACCAAACGAAACCATCAACGCGGCGAAGTACAGCCTTCAACTGGACGAACTGAAGACTGCCATCGCACGGAAGCGCCCTGAATTGGCCAACAGGCGTGGAATTGTTTTCCATCATGATAACGCCAGACCTCACGTCGCAATGTCTATCCGTAGGAAGCTGTTAGACTTCGAATGGGACGTTCTTCCTCATCCTCCATATTCTCCCGACCTTGCCTCATCTGACTACTATCTATTTCTTGCTTTAAAAAATTTTCTTCGGGACAAGAAATTCGAGTCTTTGAAAGTCCTCAAAAGTCATCTTGATAAATTCTTCGCCAATAAGAAACCTTTATTTTGGAGCAAAGGCATCATGCAGTTTCCTGAAAGATGGGCCAAGGTCGTTGAACAAAACGGTACATATTTGCTTCAATAAAGTTCCTCTTTGTGTAAAATATTGCGCTCTTAATTTATTTCAAAAATTTGAAACGAACTTTCCGAATAACCTAATATATAATTACGTAATGTTCTGTATTTAGGATATGGAAGATGTGGTATACTATCAGGTGTAATAAAAAGAAATCCATTATTTTTCCAATAGATGGCTTTAGTTATCTATATCTCGCGTTGTATAAGTCCGATCGGGTTCCACTAGATGGCGTTAGAAAGATGAGATTTCGTACTAAAAAAACTTTTCCGACAGTTTTGTGATTAGTTGACTCAGTTTTGTTTGAGCGCGCGTCAAAGATGGACACTAGCAAAGAGAAAATACGCTATATTTTACAGTTTTTCTTCGATAAAGGCGAAAACGCAAGCCAGGCCGCGGAAAATGTGAATAGTGTTTATGGTCCTGATACTGTAACAGCCAATCACGCGCAATTTGGTTTCGTTGATTCCGTTCTGGTAATTTCGATGTCAAAGATGCACCACGCACTGGAAGGCCAATTGTCGAAAATAATATGATATAAGCTTTTAAAACCGAATGAAACAGTTACGAGGGAGCGATACCAGCAACAATTGAATAAATTTGAAAACAATTGAATGATGAATTAATGCGGAAAAAGGCAGCGATAGCCGGTAAAATAATTCTTTTGCATGATAATGCTCGTCTATATGTTGCTTCAATCATTAAACAAACATACTTAGAGGGGAAATCCTTCTGCACCCGATCTCATACTCTCCAGATCTAGCACTATCTGTTTACCATCTATTTCAATTGATGTAACACGCTTTGACAGATACATACTTCAATAATTATGAGGATGTGCAAAAATGGGTACCTGATTGGATTACTTCAAAAGATCGTTTTATCATCGCGGAATCGCTATATTGTTAGAAAGATGGGAAAAAGTCACAGCTAACGACGGAAAATATTTTGATTGATGTAAATTTAACTATTTTTTTTAAATAAAGATAAAAAAGTTGACATGAGACCAAAATTAATTCAACCCTCTAATAGATCACTAACTCTATTGACAAAAGGAGAATAGATTTATTTTATCCATAATGTTTATAAATGTTACAATAGCATACATATAAACATTTACATATTGAATATGTAGGTGATATCTAATTGTTATTTTTTATTTTATTTAGGTTCATGGTTTATACAAGAAGTTTGTAAAATCTTCAGAACTTATGGAAGCCAGCTAACTTTTCTGGAATGTGTGAGAGAAATAATGGCATCTGTACGAAAAAAACAAGGGACAATAGGAGAAAGTCAAGTTGCTCAACTACCAGAAATACGACAAGACCGTTTAGATTCTGATTTTCAATTAAAGAATATAATTAAAAGAATATAACTAAAATTATGTATTGCACTACTAATGTTTATAATTTATACTGTTGCATTATATATATTTTACTAACAAAATATTATGTTATATTGCAAAGACATTTTTATGAACAATTGTAACGGCCCAAGTCCGCTGAGTTAATTTTAGAGAAGAAATAACGCGAATATGCTCGCTAGACCGCTCCGGGTTCGGTGAGATGCAGCGAAACGATAGATTGCAATAGAAAATAATGAAAATCTTTGTAGATCTCATCGCTCTCTATTGCTTTGTCTTTTTCGATGTTTTGCTTGATTAAAGAACTCTTGAACCTTGAACTTTATAGTTCAATATGAACTATTTACCTCATAAAATAATCCTAGTAGTACCTCATAAAATAATCTCGTAATTATAATCACAAATATTCAGCGGCCTTATCGGCGCAGTGCGGCGGGACGTAGGAGTGACGAGGTAAGGGACATGAGCATCGATGCGTTGTCCTTCCTTTCGCTGCGCGCCGGCAACAGTTCCTTGGTCGACTAGGTAGCGCTCTAGCCTGAGCGGCTTGATGCTCCTCCCATAATGTCCCGGCGCCCGCTCATTCATCAGATTTCTGTCATTAAGGGTCTACAGGAGTCAGAGACAAATCCAGCGTTGACTTTGGAGGCCTCGTGCAGCGAGACCGTCAACCAACACAGTGCGCGTGAGCGCAAGAGCAGGAAGGTTAGGTCAGCCAGTTTGACAAGGACGAACAATCGATCGCTGTACTTATCTTACTCACTCGGGCATTTCGCCGGCCGATATACAGTAAAAAAATGCTTTCCAGGCTTTTGGGCGAGAGATCTAAGCGTCGCAGCGACTTATGTGCAATACCATTTTACAAATTGACATATTTTGTCTGCTGACGTTATACAGGGTATCCCAAAAGTAACGGACCACCCTAATAACTTTTCAGTATTGAAGTTTCAAGGAAAATGATTTGAATAAAAGTTGTACGGATTTAATGAGCTACCTTATGATGACCTTGACTTTGACTTTGACCTTTATTTTCAAGATCATTTGAAGGTCAACTTGTGTTTTTCAAATGGAAATCCCTAATTTTGACCTCGGATTTTGAAAGAGCGCAAACTGTTACGTTTAGATATGTATTTTTATGGGGGGGTCGAAATGAACTGTACGGGTTATTTGAAAGTCAAATATGTTATTTGTACGAAATAGCTGGTAGTTCGTGGTTTTTATGAAATATGACCCGAATAAGAGTTGTCGAGATCAAAGAGGGCCATAAGCTGGTGACCTTGACTTTGACCTTGACCTCCATTTTCAATGTCATTTAAAGGTCAACCATTTTTTAAAATAGGAACCTCTATTTTTTATCCCGGATTCTGAAGAACGCGTTCAGGTTGTTAAACATTCAGGTTGTTGTAGGAGTCAAGGCAAACGTTGAGGGTCAATCAAAGGACAAATAATGATTTGACCTTGAGAGCACCGTGCAGTAACAGAATACGTTGCCAATGTTCACTTGATTGAATAAAATATTAGGTAACCATTGCCTGAAGCAGACTGGATTTTCAGACCCCATGTGATCCAGCCACTGAAAGCAAGATTATAATGATCCAAGGTCTAAATAGCTTCCGAAATTAGAACATCGTCGAAAAAATTCGTTTTTAATGTAATTTAAAAATTTATCAGAATTATTCGGACTTGTCTCATAGACTGTACAGTTCAGATAGCCTCGTAAAAAATATTCAAGCTTTTAGATCGTGTGATCAACTGAGTAGCCGATTCTACCACTTCTCCTTTTGGGCTTCTGGTGCTAGCATTACCTCCAAGTTTCCAAGTTTAATAAATCAAAAAGGAGGTTCTAGCTGTTTCGTTGAGTGTAACTAAGATAAATCCAAAGTAGTATAAATTTCGTGTCAGAATCAAAATTATAGTATGGATTAATGTTAGAAAATAAGGGCTCATTCATGTTGTCATTAGTAAAATATTATGAATGAAATTGACTATATTCACCCGACGTTATTCAGATGCAACTACGTATTTCTCTATAGAGCATTTCATTATAAAAAGTTTCTCTCGAATTAAACAGTCTTTTTTGGAAATCTTCCAAATGTATTTTTGTGTTCAGTCAATTTCTACTTCTAAACTATGGCGTATGTACGTATTAGTGAGCAGGAACGATTATCACTATTAATGATGCGAGGTTGAGGTGACCTTCAACATTCTTATTCGCAAACTCGAACAATATTTAATCAAACATTCCGAGATAATGGTCAGCCGTTAATTTCCAAACCTACAGTCATTCGAACTATGCAACGATATGAAACTGGTGGAATAGAAGATCGTCAGAGATCTGGATGGCCTAAATCGGTTACAAATAAGGAGAGTCAATGGAGGTTGCACAAGCATTTGTAGAAAACCCTCACCTTTCTATTCGCAACGCAGCTAAACAGCATGAAAACACTCGAACGTCCGTTCATAGAATCTTGAAGTTAATCAAATTTCATCCGTATAAAGTTCACTTAGTTCAGGAACTCAATGAAGTCGATCCCAATCGTTGAATAGAATTTTGTGAATTTGAACGACAGGGACCAGGATTTTTCTTATAATATAGTATTTTCTGACGAACATACTTTTACATTAAAGGGCGAAGTGAATAGATACAACTGCAGATATTGGAGTAACACTAATCCACGCTGGATGCAAGAATCTCGTACTCAATATCCACAGAAAGTGAACGTCTAGGCAGGTATTTTGAATAACTCAATAGTGGGTCGTTTTTTTATTGATGGTGATTTGAACGTCGCAAAATATCTGGATATGTTAAGGAATCAAATAATACCAAGAATAAGAGAGATTGCAGGTGATAATTTTGAACAAACTTGGTTTTAACAAGATGGAGCAGGACCTCATTATGCCATAATTGTTCGTGACTTTCTTAATAATTAGTTTTATTGTCGATGGATTGGAAGAAGAGGTGAAATCGAATGGCCTCCTCGATCCCCAGATCTATCACTTCTTGACTATTTCCTGTGGAGTTATCAGAAAAGTAGAATCTATTAAACAAAGCCAAATAATTTATATGAACTCCGAAATCGTATTATCCGAGAGTGTACCTGTTTAAGCAACGCTTTACATCATATGAAGATACTAAAAATTGGGTCGATTCGTGGATATTCTTTCTGGCAGCATTCGGATACCACGTCAGAAGACGTGGTATCCGAATGCTGCCAGAAAGATGGGAAAAAGTAGTGGCTAGTGATGGACAATACTTTGAATAAAATGTAATGTACCGTTCTTTCACAATAAATTCCTAATTTTTGATAGAAAACGGCGGAAACTTATTTGTACTCCTAACACAAGATGTCCCAAAAGTAACAGCCCACCCTAATAACTCTTCAGTATTGAAATTTCAAGGAAAATGATCTGAATAAAATTTTACAATCCAGTCAAAAATTTATGAAAGATAAATAAATAAAAATAGATAAATAAATAAAGAAAAATAAATGAAACGTCCGCCGTACCAAGCATCGCAGCGAATTACTCAAAAAATTATTTTACGAGATGCAAAATTTCGCCTCGTTGACGATACGTAATTGCCAAACTGTTATAGCATCTCCCTTGAACTATCCTTGAGAACCCTACAAAGCCAGTTTTTGCAATCCAGCCGTCAAAAATTTATAATATATAAATAAAGCATCAGCCGTACCAGGAGTTGCAGCGAGTCAGGTGGAATACCATTTTACAAGAAGCAGTATTTTGCCTTGTTGACGTAACATATGACCATGAACTTATTATAGCATCTTCCTATAATTATTCCCGAAATCGCTACAGAGTCAGATTTTACAATCAGGCCGTCAACAATTTATTATACACAAATAAAGCGTCAGCTGTACCAAGTATCGCAGCGAGTCAGGCCGAATACAATTTTATAAGAACAAATATATTGCCTCGTTGACAATATACAGGATGTCCCATTTTAAAGGACTCACTCAAATATCTCAGAAACATTACGTTAAATCGAAAAATGCTTAAGACAAAAGTTATTTAGCTTGAAAGGGGACATAGGACAGCGATAGCATTTTGTTTATAGATGGCTCCATTTTCGAGATATTTACTGATTATCAATTTTCTTAAATGGAAATCCAAATTTTTTACTATATCATCCTTTTCTACCAATTAATTTGAACAAAATTTGTCTGAAACATTTTTTTATTTGCTTAATATATTTTGAGATATTTAAAGAAAACTTGGTAACTTTTCCAACATTTACCTTGCGATATCTCGTTAACTATTCGTCGAAAGAAAAAATAGTATTAGACTTTTGTTACGTCCTGCAAACTCCGGACAATTATTTAAAAAATCTTTTTTTCTTTTTTCTCTCTCCTTTCGAACTTCTATTCTCTTAATATAACTATATAATAGGAATATATATATATAAATATAAGATAGGAAACAGACACATCTGGCAAACAGCCGTTGCGCCAAATGAAAGGCGATCTAGGAAAATTTCATAACAAGAAACAGTGCCCTGTTGTAAAAATCTACACGTCTTCGTTGAAGGTTTATATCTGACAAGGGACATTCGGCAACGCGGAAATTCAAAAAAATCTGAAACTCTGCATAATTGTAGAGCAGATATACCTAATAACAAAACAATTTTTCGTTGGTGCCCAAAAACGGTTTTAAGGGTGGAAACAACCCCTTGAACAAAGTTGATTTTTGTCTTTCTAAGCGAATATTATCGAAACTATTAAAGATATGAAAAAATGTTTTAGACAAAAGTTTTATGGTTTTAAAAGTACTTTATTATGCTATATTTAGATTTTTTTAAAATGTAAAATTGTGTATAAAATACCCCCCCTCCTTCTCTTTTTTCAAATTGTTAAAATCAATTGTCCAACCAAAATAAAGCTTATTTTATGACAAATTCAACCATATATAATAACATTATGTTTGGAAAAGGCAATATTGAAAAAAGTTAAACATGCTCTTGTATGTATGCTACGCGTACTAAACTTAAGGATTCGCTACTTGACGATGGCATTTCTTTCTTCCTCAAATCTTCCTCATAATTGCAAACTGTAAAAGATAAGGAAGGAAGAAAATAGAAAATCTAAAAAAGCAATAAAGTTGATGTTAAGAAGTAAGTAGGAGAAAAATAGCATGATAAGGATACAGTCACTAATATTTAAAAATGTTATAAATTATAAAATTTCACGTAATAGACGTTTATTTTGCCAACATTGCGGCTACCTTTTTCATTAATTTAAACGACACGCGTAAATATAAATAAATATGTGTGTGTGTGTATGTGTGTTTTTGTACATGCGCACGT